TTTTAATGTTTTTCGTTTATTTCTTTATAATTTTCATGTTTTGCATCAAGACGAGTGTGGCATATTTTAATTATTTACGTTTCGTTTGTTTATTTCCTCAACCATCCTATCGACGATTGTTAGTCATCATTTTGATTTCATTTTTTATATCTATCACATGGGTCAGTGTCGCAGCTGGACTTAATTCAAATGCATCATACAACATTACTCAATTGTATCCGTATAAACTTTGTTGGTTTACTCGGGATGTTATTTACTACTTTCTAACCATACCTGTTGGTGTCTTCCTTTTCTTGAATATCTTAACATTCATTCTTGTAGCTCACCGTATAATAAATCATGCTCGGCGTGCAACATCACCTCATCAATTGTATGAGCGAATGAAACGATGTGTACTCATTCTACTTTTGTCATCTGCAACACAAGGCATTGGCTGGCTTTTTGGCCCATTTCTGACGTTTATTAGTTCAGAAGCCGGCAATATTTTAGGATGGGTTTTTGTTATTTTCAATGGATTGGAAGGTCTCTGGGTGATTTTGTTGTATATAGTAATTCGATCGTTACGCATGGATAAACAAAAGCATCGGGTTGCTGCTGAACACCTTACGAAATCAACAGAACAAATATCTCATAAATATGGAAAGTATTTTGAGGGAGACAATGAGAATGAAGATATAGTAACATGATGAGTGAAAGCGGAGTTACATATCGAAATTTACAAAAAGGAATAATTCAGCTGTAAAATGACTTTCGTGAACATAGAACGATGGATTCTTCTTTCGAAGATGATAACTATAGACTATACTGTCATAGTAAGAACTACTTACAGTTTTGATTCGCGACTTTTTCTCCCAATAAAATTGTTCGAAAATCTTATCTTGTTGAATGTAGAGATGATGAATAGATCATGTATATAAAAATTTGAAAATTTAGCACATTATTCCTACACTTAGAGATCGCTAGATAAATTCAAATTTCCCTGAAATTAGAATAGTATTAGATTGTTTGTTTAAATACGAAAATGGTTTCGAAAAAATGCCATCTACCTTTTTGTGTGTAGAAGAATACTTATTCGAATTTTACTATTTGTACACTGAAGATAAAAACAAGTTTTCAAATGTCATAAGCACAAAAAAGGCAAGATAGTGTTTTGAACTGTCTACTTTTACCATTCAGAAATACTTGGAAGCAGAATCATAAAAAGAGCATTTCTATATTACTATCATGACCTTAGCTTGGATTCCGCTCATACCATGAGAACTATTGAAAAAATTGGTCAACATTCCTTCAAAAATAGTAGATAGACTTTTGCCATCAATTCATCAAGGCTTAGTCAGCTTCTTATATGAATTTCAATATTGAATTCAATGGACTATTCTAGATGAATCGCGGAAGGAGATTTAACGAAATACACACGAAGAAGATGTGACTACGACTATGGCTGTTGATTAACATAAGATAGAGCAACTTTCACACCCGCATTCAGATCAATCTGCGAAGTCTTTGCATGATAATAAACTGTTCACTATAGTTAAAATAATGATCCATATATTTCCAATAATTCTTATATAAATTATACTGGCAATAATATTAATTCAATGGTAAAGCTTAAAAATGCATACCTATCGACAATGAAAGTGTACATTTCACACAGAGTCCTACATGATATCCATCTGACGAATACTTTTTCTTACATAAACTTTATCATAATTAATGAAATGGATAAAATTCTAGGTGAGATCGATACCATTGTCGAACATCTTGCCAATAAAATCTTGGAATACAGATAAATGAACAGATCTTGAAAATTTAGGTACAAGATAATCGTATTATATTGTACCAAGATCTTATTACAGATCTTAGCTAGGAATTCATAAAGCCTTGGGCGATGCATTTTAAAGCATGGTTCGAATCTATCGTACAGCGCAATTTTTACTTTTTTCTGTAAAAGTAGATTTTGCTATTTTTCAATTTATTTTGATATTAATTATTTTTCTCCTGAGCAACTCAAGCAAGTCAGATGTTGGGATCTGACTAGTTTTAAGTTGGTCTGATATCCGTCAGACCAATTTAGGATAATCCTCTTTCGATCATTGATCGAGATCAGCATTCTCTCGAATAATCGAGACATAGGTTAAAAAAACATTATTTTGAAAAATAATGTTGCATATGTACAATCATGTTGCTTATAGTCAGCTCTGTATGCATTAAAAAAACGGTGAATGAATAGAGAGTACGTAAATACACTAATGATGTCTCTTTCTGTTTTACTCTAGATTTTGTGAGAAGTTAATAGAAAACGATATATTTTTCATAATCTGGTCAAGATCTTAGGTGCATGTTTATCTGATACAACCAATAATGTGCATCCGAATTATCTTTTAAAGATCTTGATAAGATGTTACTAACTGATCCCAATATTTCAAGATCTTGCTTACAAGATGTTTCACTAGAGTATTAATTAAAAAGTGGCATCTATTAAAATTCTCAACTTTTCTAGCGACAGAAATATAGTCAGCTCATATATATATATATGCATTGGCTCTAAACTTTACTATCAATAAACAATTTAACTAATCAGAAATCGTTCAATACGTTTATTATCGATCATTATCACTCATATTTCAATAACTAATAACAATCGATTTACTGTTCCAATGAGTATCTCTATTGATTGCGCCAATTTCTGATATAAAACTAATTTTAATCAATATCAATCTAATTGAAATCATTCTCGGTCGTGTAATCATACTTGCTCATTATACGCTTATTATTAACAACTAGTGAAAAATAATTCTATGACTTCTTTGTCAATACGTATCTATCATTGGTTCCTTGATAATGCGTATAAACGTATGTAAAAAATATTGAATTTACTTCCATTGATTTCAAACACTTCAAGTAAGATTCACCAAATTTATTAAATCCTACGTTTAATGAAATCAGCCGTTTTTTAAACTTGCAGTGTGTTGATATTTCACGCGAAAACATATATTAAAATAAAAAAATGATCAAACCTTTCTAAACTAGATAGTTCGCCTTTTGGTGACGTTACGAAACAAGCAATTTTATGAATAAAATAGAGTTATTTGACTGAATTATCATTTTCAAAAAAAAAACAACAATAAATATGTCTCACAATCGTGGAACCTCAAAGGACAATAACTAACATTCACTAAGTGTTGGCATCTACTTACCATGAATTTGTATGTCTTTCTATAATTAATTCAGAGTTCTATTTAATTTTCATCAAAATCTACACCTCAATTAAAAAACATGTTGTCTTAGCCGTCTCTATCAAACGAGTTCGTTTAATTACTCAAAGTGACGATAAGAACCGTTATTACCGATAAAAATGAATTTTGTTTGTTCTTTAGTAACACTGATCTCTCTGCTACATGCAATATCAATCAATGATTATATAAAATATTCGCTATTCCTATTAAAATATAAGCTTTCATAAATCTTATCAAGTCATTCAATGGCATTGAGAATCATGTTTTTCAAAAATCATAAATTATAGTGCAAATTTGATAAACTGATTATAGCATAAAAATAGATGCAAAAAGAACACAAGTTTGTAAAATTGGAGAATGAGTAAAAGAAATCATGTCCAGCTTTGCCGCAAAAAGACTCGATATGAAATAAGACCCGAATAAAATTTAAGTATGCTGAAAACGAATAGTGTTAGAATAAGCTAATTATCAACAGAACAATTATGTTGATTTTTGTGTCTCATTTGTGAAATCATACAAAACAACAAATCAATCTTTTGTGACTATATAAATTTGATACTTTTAACAGTTACCGTCTAGCTGTAGATCAAATATTCCATTCACTGTACGTAGATATGTTATGTATGTGCGAAGTTCAAATATTTTACTAAGATTTAAGTGCTCAAGGTAATTTTTGTTTTGACTCTGTTGTTCGAAAAACCAATATATTATTTTTTTTATGCATTAAGAGACGCCTAGAACAAGAAAAGCATTGAGACAGATTCTACCTCTATCAGCCATCGAGTTCAAACATCTATATTAGGCTATAATTTATATAGTTATTCTCGAAGTGGCTTTTTTTTATTCGTGTTAACATCTTCTCTCGAATGATTGACAAATTGACTTTAATAAAATGAAATTTTCTATGCGAGAAAAATATCAAATATTTTGTCTGATAATTATGACTTATAATGAAGTTACAGTGCAATCAAGATTACAACTTCAAAATGAAAATGACACTAACATATTATTCGCTTTAAATGAACGCCTCGTACTAGACAGAGATTTACGACAGATAACCATTGATGGTAGCGGGGCAACCGGTAAGTTTATTTCGGCTGCGACTTTCTTCAACGGCATATGCTGATACTTTGACAACTATATGGAATACGAAAGATAATTCTCAATCTACTAGCGTGACATGCAATTATGCATTCTATTTTAAATGACATCTTCCATAAAAGAACAACAAAGTATAATCTTTTTAGCTCAAAAGATTATTCGAATAGCACAACCTGATTTGAAAAAAAAACCACGAAATTCGAAAAGCTATTCTTCCTATGGCATAAGAGAATTCTATTCGTGTTTATCCTGTCTATTTTTATTGCAAAAAAGTACTAATAAGTTCTTATTCTACTATTCAAACTGTAACTGACAGAAGTTACGTAAGAGAATTTCTGAAATGAGACTCTACCACTTATTTTCTAATATTCCTAATCACTTTTCAAAATCTTTCATGAATGCACAATTTTAATTCACACACCTCAAGCAATAGCTGGACAATAGCTGCAAAAAGCGTAAAATGATATTTAGTTGACTGAGTTCGATGCCTCATTCAGTCGAATTTTACAACATCCGATGAGTAGACGAAATTAGATGGGATTTCTGATTGAGTAGTTACTAACGGATTCGAAGCAAATTCATATTTTACTATTTTCAAACTATGCAGTATCCACAGCTAACAATAGATATTGGTCAGGGCCAAGCGGTTGGTTCCATCGTATCCGACAGGACGTTATAAGCGAACCCCAATGCTCTACACTTTAATATCCATTCATAATTTTACTTCCTAAAAAACAAATTCAGCGATTTTCATCAAATTTCACTTAAAGTTCACAGACTGCTATAAGAAATATCAAAAACACAGAGAGTACTGACTGAAATCCCCAGCAGCAAATACGACTCCCTCTAATCCAACTCACTTTTCCCTGTATTCACAGGTGCAACTGACACAACAGGTGCGCTCCAAACTACGTTGGCAACCGATATCATCGGAACATCCATATCGAGTGCTGAACTTACATTAACATCCCGCATATCCATATGGAGTGATTTACCTCCATTAGGAACAGATACACGCACCGATGTGACCGCGACAACCATAAGCGATACTGAGTCTACATTAAGCACCGATAGCATCTTGGGAACCACGACGGATACTTCATCTGCAGTGGCAATCGATAGCAGCTCCAGCTCCAGCTCGGGCACGACCGAAATCACGACCGATACTTCATCTACAACAACAATCGATACAAGCTTCAGCACGACCGAAACCACGGCCGACGCTCCAACTACAACAACAATCGATACAAGCTCCAGCACGACCGATACTTCATCTACGACAACTACCAGCTCCAGCTCGAGCACAACCGAAACTTCAAGTGAAACTATAAGTTCAACGTCTTCAGGTGGAAGTACCACACTAAGCACCACTACTCCGCCTATGACCACTACTCCGGATCCAAGCTTCTGCAAAAATATCTCGCATTTCTTCCAAAGTGGCCAATGTAGAGAAAGGAATACAACTAGGGTACGAGATTATATACAGACGTTTTGGTGGTATCAGTTCTTTACTTCTAGGAAGATACGATAAATACTCTGCAGAATACTACAAATTCTAGTGTCATTGCCGAACAACTTTCGTTATATATAGGCTCATTGACTGATTCAAATGTATCATCGACTTCACAAAATACTTTAACCCTCGATGAAATTGATGGTTATCTTACTATTATAAACAGTACAGATTTAACAAAACAGACCACGGACTCCATCCTTGTGGCAACGTCAGTAGAACAAGAAAATAGTACAATCGTTGTAGGTGCATCATTCACAACTGGTGTTGGCGGCAAAGTTATCGATTCATCAAATATAAACAATGTGAATACGTCAAGTATTACAGCAGCGGCAATCGTTAATAATCAATCTTTAATTGGTGTTTCCTCATTAAATATGCTAATAATTGATAAACCTACTACGTACATAAGTGTAGATAATACCATGAATAAAACACTTGCATCATCCATTATCATGGTGGCATTGCGAAGAAATGATGCGACATCAGCTCCAATTGACATATCTCTTTATTTTAAAGTTTTATCGGGTTTTGAGCCTAAGGTTCCCGCGGATTATTTTTGTTCCTTTTATGATACAGCCAATCACGTATGGAATGAATCTGGTTGTACAAAACCAGCTTATGATGAGCAATTCAAACGATATGAGTGCCGTTGCAATCATACTACTACATTCGCTCTTGTTTGGTTGCCTAAGGTACCTCTCACCCGTTATCTGAATTCACAAGATATTGCATCTTTGGTATTTCAATCAATTTCAATTTTATGCTTTCTTGCGGTTGTGCTTCATACAATTTTGACACGAATTCAAAATCCAATAATGCGTTTACAAACATATGATTTACTGCCACTGATGTCATATGGGGCAACAATGATTCTTTTTATTTTCTTCATTGCTCTTGCAATGACAACTTACGCAAAAACATCTTCGGAAGATCAAACAAGTTGTTTCTTAAGTTCAAGTGTTTTAATGTTTTTCGTTTATTTCTTTTTAATTTTCATGTTTTGCACCAAGACCAGTGTGGCATACTTTAATTATTTACGGTTCGTTCGTTTATTTCCTGCACCATCATATCGGCGATTGTTTATCATGATTTTGATTTCATTTTTTATATCTATTATATGGGTCAGTGTCGCAGCTGGACTTAATTCCAATCCATCATACAACATTACTCAATTGTATCCGTATAAACTTTGTTGGTTTACTCGCGATGTTATTTACTACTTTCTAACCATACCTGTTGGTGTCTTCCTTTTCTTGAATATCTTAATATTCATTATTGTAACTCATCGTATAATCAAACACGTCAGAAATGCAACATCGCCTCATCAATCATATGAACGAATGAAACGATGTGTAATTATTTTACTTTTATCCAGTGTTACGCAAGGCATTGGTTGGATTTTCGGTCCATTTCTTACAATTGTCGATGAAAAAGCGGGCAATATTTTAGGCTGGTTTTTTATTATTTTCAACGGATTGGAAGGTCTATGGATTATTTTGTTGTATTTATTAATTCGATCACAGCATATGGATGAACAAAAACGGTCTATTGCTGCAGCAGAGTTAACAAAATCAACGACTCTAACATCTAATAAGCGTAAGAACAATAGCAGCGGTAGTTGGTATTATTACAGCGTGAAACGAAATGAAAATATTGATCGAAGATGGGAAGACATGTTTGAGGATTATTTGAATGATCCTGAAACTGTGACAGGGACAGCTAGTGTTTGTTAAATAGAGTTATTGCATTCCTTGTTCCCAAGCATTTCGTTTTGAAGGAACGAGAACAGGCATCATAATGTGTTCTCAAAAGCCGTGACAGGAACTGACATGTTTGTTCAGTTTAACTTATCTTTTTATTTAAACCGTCTACGGGTTCCCCGTTCATAAGTGCCAGAATTCATTCGGCTTTCTCGTTCCTAGCAATGGGAACAAAACAGAAACGCAACATCTCTATTGTTAATGAGAATTTTTCTCATTGAACTTTTAACAGTTATTTTTCTCGGATTTGTGGTGATTTTCTATTTCAGATGCAACTTCAAAAGACTATAATACTATATTATAGATATTGATGGTTTTTTTTATTCAGGCAGCACAAATAATCAGTGAACGAAATCAATGCCATTTGATTCAGTTTTTTAAATGCAAAAAAACGTATTTCGACACTTTTGGAATAAATAGATTAAGTAACACAATTATATTCACACAGTGAACCATGTAAATTCGAAGAATATAAAAACGAAGAGTCACGGTTTGAAATATGCTACATCGAGAGATACTTCATATATAAAATAGAATCATTCAATAAATGAGTAAATCAATTGGTGAATAGCAAGGAAGTAACACTTGTACTAATTATTCGACTCGATTGTATACTATAGAAAACGATGTCTACGAGTGCTACGTTAAAAGTAAAAGTTTACAATAATAAATAAAATAATGTTAGCTGGAGTAATCTTATGTTCATCAAGCTTTGATGTTAAATTAACGTTAGCCAACATCAATCTAACTGAAATCTTTCACAATGGTGTATCATTACTTCCTCATTACAATTCCATCGGCAAGTATTTTGAATATAGCTCAGAGATGGGCGAGTCCGAGTTATGACTCGGATTCGAGTCGACTCGAGTCATATTCGAGTCATTCATTCGGAAAACTTTTTATTTGCCCTTGTTAAAAAGGATCACAATTTATAAGACGAAATTGCCACTTTTTCATGTCTTTTGTCCTAATTGAATATATTGTTTTTAAACTATTTTTTCGGGAGTTTTTCCAGGCCTCTGTTTTGATATGGTCGTCGATGTTAGCCTCCACATATGACTGAATATGTGTGTTTTTTCTCGGTTTTCGGTAATCTTTAAAGGTTTACATGTGTATGTAATGAAATGAATAACAACTTTGCATTGCATCACACATCCCATTTTTTAAAAATAGCATTGTAGTATAATTATAGAGTGGCAGTATTTTTGATCACTAAAAAAAGACATTGTTGGTCACTGCATATTTCCGTCACTCCTTTATATTATTTCTTGCTTAACGATGGGAATCGTTGTATAATGTTCTACTCGTCCATACCCAGCTTCCTATTTTCACGGAAGTAAATTCATACCGATCTCTTAATAAACTTGCTCGAGAAATTATGTATGTTTCTTCTACATTAGGACCAGTTGAATGCGCTTTTCCAAAGTGGTATTTTAATGAGAACGAATCATTCAAGTTTTACAGCAGCTAATATTTATATGTTAACATTTTTTATTTGCAATAAGACAACAATTTAGCGAAAACAAATAAATTTTCCTTGCGAGCAGATTTTTTTATGCCTTTGCTTATAAAAAAAAGCGATAATTTGAACTGTAGTGTGGAACTGATTGAAAAAGAAAAGTTGATTTTACTGCTATTATTTTGTTGATGAATCTAGAATAGTTGCAGCATTTGCATTTTACTCTCTGTGTAACTTCTTATTTTTGCTTTTGTGCATAAAAAGTAGGAACTGCATATCGTGTAATGAAAGATCTGTGGTTGAAGTTCTTTATAAACAAAAACAGAAAACGAGAAAAATGGTAAAATTTATTTGACTCGACGAGACTTGACTCGAAAACATTGGTGACTCGGACTCGACTCGACTCGACAAATCGCCTGACTCGCCCATCTCTGATATAGCTATCAGATTTGGTTCTGAACAAATAGTCATCGTTGACTCTTTCATAATGCATTTACACGACTTTTCTCACGCGTAAAACCTGCTGTTTTTTTACGTTGAATTGTGTTGGTACTTTACTCATGTCAACTAGCTTTGCGTAATTGAACTTTAGTTTCTATTTTTAAGTTTTCCCCACAGTTTTTATTTTTTGTAGCATAATAGCTTTTTGAGAAAATTTTTCGCTTGGAGTGTGAATGTGACATCCTGGATCGATTTTGTCTCTAATCATTAATCTCGAGAACATAATATAAATGCTAACGACAATAGATACGTATATGTCATGATTAAACTTTTTCAGTATAATTTTAGTCGTAATCTAAATTTAAATTTTTTAGAGAACTCTCAAAGTTTTTTTTTGTTGAACAGATGAAGCTAATCAAATTAATGTAGCTTTTTAGGACAGCTCCGTTAGGACTAAAGCCTGGAATTCACATATATCCGTTAGACTTACTGAAGATAGGCCTTAAGTTTTTTGTATAGTCTGTGATGGGGACAGGGAGCCGCAAAAATCTCGCTTTTAAAGCTACACTCGCCATTTTCATCGAAAATAATTATATGTCAACTCAACAAAAAGTACAACGATACTCTTTCTTTCTTGCAAAAACTCTATCAATGCATTTTACATAAAATTGTAGGTGCCATATGAGCATCACTCTGACTTCCATTCACTTATACCGTTGAATTGAAATTTTGATTAGAAAAATTCATCTCACTGTTTTCAAGAAGGTTGTAACGACTGTCTTAATGGATATCAGTATTCTATACATTTCATTCGTAGTTGAAGAACACTTTTGTATACTCGTGTTTTTTCAAAAAGTGTTGTCACAAAGCTCGAATGTAAACGATGTTGTACATGTGTTACTGCAAGTATGATATTAACGATTATTTATCATGCTTATGATATCATTTTTATATATTTCATATAACTCAGTTTCGTAGCTCGATTTAATTCCGCTGCATCGTTTTAAATTACTTTAACATATCAAGATACGTTTTGTTGATTTATTCTTGATGATATTTTTTATTTTTCTACGATACTAGTCTGTCTTTATATTTTTATCAGTATTGTGATATTGATTCTTGTAGTTCCCCGCATACTGAGTCATGATTGAAATATTATATCATATATTCAATATCTTGACAGAACGCAGCTCTGTCTACTTATTTCATTTTCGCCATGTAGATATTAGATTCAAACATTAGGTTAATTATTGCGTCAGCTTGTTCTTTTTTTAATGCAAACTGAGCTTGAAAATATTTAAGGAATCTTATTCTAGATCATTGTTCAATTACAACGTATACCGATGAAGGAAACTATCTCATAAATTTAAAAAAGAAAAATAATCGAAACCTTCCAAATTAGACGGTTCACCTTTTGATGACTTTGCAAAACAAGTAATTTCATGAAAAAAAACAAAGTTATTAGACTTAATTAACATTTTCAGAAAACAAACAACAATAAATATATCTTTAAATTATCAACATCCAAGGACCAATAACTGATATTCGCTTAATGTTGACAACTACTTAACACGTATTTTCATGCCTTTCTATATTTAATTAAAAGGCCTATTTAATTTTCATCAAAATCTACAGCTCAATTAAAAAACATGTTGTCTTAGCCGTCTGAATCAAATGAGTTCTTTTAATTACTCAACTTGTATGATGAGAACCGTTAATATCGATAAACATATAATTTGCTCGTTCTTCATTAACGACGATTTCTTCACTACATGCAATATCAATCAATGGTTATACAAAATATTTGCTACTCCTTTCAACATGCAAAATTTCTTGAATCTTATCAAGTGCTTTTCAGAATCATGTTTTTGAGAATCATGAATTTTAGTTCAAACTATAGAAAATTGATTATAATACAAAATAGACACAACAAGAACATGACTTTGTACATCTGGAGAACGAGTAAGAGAAATCACGTCTAACCTTGCAAAAAAGATTCAATATGAAATATGATCCATACAAAACTTGAGTATAATAAAAATAAATAGTGTTATATAAGTTAATTATCAACAGAAAATTTTTATTGATCTCTTTGCTTCTCCTCTATTAGATCATGGCACACAACACTTCACCATTTCGTGATTTTATAAATGTGTTTTTTCTCCGAGTCATCACCTAACTAAACATCATACAGTTTACCTACTGTAGGTATATATATTATGTGTCAAGTTGAAATATTTTACTAAGATTTTAGTGCTCAAGGTAATTTTTGTTTTGACTCTGTTGTTCGAAAAACCAATATATTATTTTTTTTTATGCATTAAGAGACGCCTAGAACAAGAAAAGAATTGAAACTGATTCTGCTTCTCCCAGCCAACAAGTTCAAACATGTAAATGAAGCTATAACTTATACAGTGATTCTCGAAGTGGTTTTTTTTATTCGTGTTAACATCTTCTCTCGAATGTTTGACAAATTGACTTTAATAAAATGAAATTTTTTATTCGAGAAAAATATCAACTATTTTGTCTGATAATTATGACTTATAATGAAGTTACAGTGCAATCAAGATTACAATTTCAAAATGAAAATGACACTAACATATTATTCGCTTTTAATGAACGCTTCGTAGTAGACGGAGATTTACGACAGATAACCATTGATGGTAGCGGGGCAACCGGTAAGTTTATTTCGGCTGCGACTTTCCTCAACGGTATATGCTGATACTTTGACAACTATATGGGATACGAAAGATAATTCTCAATCTACTAGCGTGACATGCAATTATGCATTCTATTTTAAATGATATCTTCCATAAAAGAACAACAAAATATAATTTTTTTAGCTCAAAAGATTATTCGAATAGCACAACCTGATTTGAAAAAAAAACGAAATTCGAACAGCTATTGTTCCTATGACATAAGAGAATGTTATTCATGTTTAGCGAGTCAATTCTTATTGCAAAAAAATACTAATAAGATCTTATTTTACTATTCAAACTGTTATTGATAGAAGTTACGTCAGAGAATTTCCGAAATGAGACTCTACCACTTATTTTTCAATATTCCTAATCACTTCTCAGAATCTTTCATGAATGCACAATTTTAATTCACGCACCTCAAGTAATAGTTGAACAACAGGTGCAAAAAAGCATAAAAGGCTATTTAGTTGACTGAGTTCGATGCCTCATTCAGTCGAATTTTACAACATCCGATGAGTAGACGAAATTAGATGGGATTTCTGATTGAGTAGTTACTAACGGATTCGAAGCACATTCATATTTTGCTATTCTCAAACTACGCAGTATCCACAGCTAACAACAGATGTCGGTCAGAGCCAAGCGGTTGGTTCCATCGTATCCGACCGGACGTTATAAGCGAACCCCAATACTATACACTTAAATATCCATTCACAATTCTACTTCCTAGAAAACAAATTCAGCGATTTTCATAAAATTTCACCTAAATTCACAGACTGCTATTCGACATACTAAACATAAAGAGAGTACTGATTGAAATCCTCAGCAGCACACACGGCTCACTCTAATCCAACTCACTTTTCCCTGTGTTCACAGGTGCAACTGACACAACGGGTACGTTCCAGACTACGTTGATAACCGATACCACCGGAACATCCATATCGAGTGCTGAACTTACATTAACATCCGGCACATCCATATGGAGTGGGTTACCTCCACTTGGAACAAGTGCACGCACCGATGTGACTGCAACAACCATAAGCGATACTGAGTCTGTATTAAGCACCGATAGCATCTTGGGAACCACGATGGATACTTCATTTGCAATGACAATCGATACCGGCACCAACTCGGACACGGCCGAAACCACGACGGATATTTCATATGCAACAACAATCGATACCAATCCCAGCTCTGGCACGGCGGGAACCGCGACGGATACTTCATCTACAATAACAACCGATAGCAGCTTCACCTTCAGCTCGGACACGGCCGAAACCACGATCGATACTTCACCTACAACAACAATCGATGCCAGCCCCAACTCAGGCTCGACCGAAATCGTGACGGATGCTTCATCCTCAATCCCTAGCAGCGCCAGCTCGGGCATGGCCGAAATCACGACCGATACTTCATCTACAATAACTACGAGCTCCGGCTTCAGTGTGAGTTCCGACACCGCCGAAACAGGGACGGATACTGCATCTA